TTTAGGGGCATAGTTCGAACAAGCCAACCATTGTTCAACACCTTGTTACTTCCTCCTTTCTCTAAAATTTCTACGCCACAAAAAGCACAAATCGACATTAACAGTAGACCTCAAATCATCGAAGGCTATTTGGTTCCTAAAATCGAGGTAAGTGTTATTCTAAATTTGCTATAATTATAAATGATTGACCATTTAATTTTTAAGTTTTTGTAAATGTATTTCCAAAAGGATTGTAGGCCTACATTAGGAAAAAAAACCTAATTATATATTTATTTATGCGTTACTGCCACGCCCATACTTTATTCTCTTACTGTTTACGAAGCAGAATAAAAGTATCGGTTCGTATACGTGAACAGCAGTGGGATAGCTGGCGTCAAACAAGTGGAAGAGGGCAGTGGGGGCTCCAGTGATGTGGGGGTGCAGTGTGATAGGGCTCCCAATGGGGAGAGGTCATCAATCCTCCAGGCTCAACACAATTCTTCGACAGACTGAATTTATAGGAGACACTTATTCCTTAAATAAACTTCCAATCTCTAAAATGTCGAAGTTTCCAGGAGCCTCGCCCCTGACCAGTGACCTCCTCCAATGGCTTCTCTGGTCGTCCCCTGGCCCCGGTCAATTACACTCTCATTGTTGTCATCGTACTCCCGTCTCAGTCATTTCCTGGCGTCACCATTGGGAGAGGGGGAAGATTTCTGTGCGTTGTCTAAATTCGGAGTGGCTGATCAAATGGATTGAATTATTGTTAGTCTGTTCATACAGGATCCATATTTTCGATCGACAATAAGTTGTGTATTTGATTATTCTAATTTTTGGTAATGATAAATGTATTACTTCTCATGCTTTGTGCCTTTGTATACACCAATAAATCATAAATTATACGTTAATATAGCTCTAATGAATCTCTATACTACACCTTATTCCCAGCGATCTCATTTATCTAGACGTCACAACTGTATACGAAAGTAACGAAGCATTCTGGTGAACATGGAGTATTTACCTTGGGAACAGTGAGTACGCTTCTGTATTATGATAATTTAATAAATTAAGATAAACAAACGAGAGAATAATTTCAAAAGGATAACAATTTTAATTGAATAGTGGCTGTGATAGAGATGGTGCTGATGATGATGATAATGATGACGACGATGATGATGTTGATAATGATAATTAACATTCACGAGAAACCTGGTTCATTTTAACTTAATTTTAAGGTATAAACAATGTCATGTGGAAGCAAACAAACAATTCATTGATAAACATTGCTTGATTGTTATGTCACAGAAACAAATTAGTACAGGCTATAGAGAGAAAGGACTGGCCAGCAGTAAGAAACATCCTGGAAAATGAACCGCACCTTAATGAAACTGTGGATGAGGTACCGGTAAGTACTTAGTTGCTACTAAATTTATGATCCACTCCAGATGTGATTTTTAGTAAATTATTCATAAAATATTATATACTATTACCTCGGGCTAACGAATCTCACAAATATATTCCCATAATATATTTTGCTTTTTATTTAAAAAAAAAAATAAAATCACACACACACACACATCACTGCAACTAAGAATGAGGTAACTAGTCAGTTGCTACTAAATTTAGGAGCCAAATTCTTTAAAAAATATTGGAAAATTATTTTATTCTTTATACTGTTCAACTCGCCCTAACGAAGTTAAAAAATATGTTCCCACAATATGTTAAGTGTGTCTTTATAAAGAGCAATCTCATATATTTAAAATGCATCATGCTGAATTAAACCACATTGTCATTCTTGGTACAAACCGTGTAACCAATATTCATTTTATTTCTATTAACATTAATTAAATAACTGCTTAAAAAAGAATAATTAAATAAATAAGCAACACATAAATAAGGAAATAAATAAATAGAAGATGCAAGTGGCTTAGCGCAGGTGGTCGAGGGCAGTTTTAAAAGAATATAGGCCTATTAAAGTGTCATCTAATAGTGTATAGGTTAATTTCAAATAGCTCTGATTAACAATAAACTGAAGTATGTGTGACAGTCAGTTATTTAAACATAACCTGTGTTTAAATATATAAGCTCGTTTTAGTATTCCTCTTAATGTAATATAGGTTAATTTCAATTCAACAAATCAATTAATAGAAATTATTATAATTTAACTCGCCCTTACGAAGCTAGCAAATAGTTTCCTACAATAGCAGGGGCGCCGCAAGCTACAGCCATAATATCGTCGCTGGTTTGAAAGGTACGCTCGCCTATGTTTATGGTGGTAGAATAAGGATAAGGACTATCTGAGACAACTATACACGTGTATACACGTGTATAGTTGTCTCAGGGACTATAAACCGTATGGCTCAGTGTATACAATGGATCTTATGCACTGTAAAGAACCCAGTACATCCTCCGAGACGAGTAGGGGGAAACCCCGGTGTATTGGAACAGACAGCCCCTGTGGTGGACGACGAGAATTGCTGGTACCGGGTTACCGGGTAGCACAGACGAAGGGACTCTTAGGGGCGAAGAAAGTCATTGATCGAGTTCCTAGTCCACATATCAAGCGCCCTGAGCATCTTAAATTGGATGGATATGTGCGCTATATTAAACTACAATATTATTATTATTATTATTATTATTAATACGTTTAGAGCCTTTCAAAAATAAAACAAAATCTCGTTTAAAATGTACCATGCTGAATTAGACTACATTGTTAATTTTTGTTACGTACAAACCGTGTGACTAATTTTCATTTTACTTCTAGCACACACATCACTGCAACTAAGAATGAGGTAACTAGTCAGTTGCTACTAAATTTAGGAGCCAAATTCTTTAAAAAATATTGGAAAATTATTTTATTCTATGTATTCATAAAAAAAAAGATACAAGATAAACACGTACATAACTTTTAATACGACTAATATCAATGGGTAATACACTGCTTTTTGTTAAATTGTAAATAAAATATAATAATTATTTGCAAAGAATTGCTATAAGCAAACTTAGGCCCTTCGTAAATCAATCTTATTACAGGGGTTTGAACTTATATATACTTTTTTAATGCATAATGTGTTAATTATATAATTTGTTTAATGATATATCGTGTTGGTTGAATTAAATTGGTCTCACTCTTCATTTCAAATACGCAAACGCAAATAATAACCAATCAATTGTGGTAATGATCTCGTGTTTCTCACAACACGATAAACTTCGTCTCAAGTATTCCTCTTAATTTAATATAGGTTAATTTCAAATAGCTGAATAATAAAATAAACCGAAGTGTGTGTGACAGTTATATAAGCATAATCTGTGTTAAAATAGGCCTATATAAGCTTGTTTTAAGCATTCCTCTTAATTTCATATAGGTTAATTTCAAATAGCTGATTGATAATATAAACCGAAGCATGTTTAAAAATCAGTTATTTAAACATAACCTGTGTTCAAATAATTCTTAATACAATACTATTGTTTTTATTTCAACAAATCAATTAATAGAAATTATGTTATTCTTTATATCTGATCAACGCGCCTTATCGAAACGAACAAATATTTTCCCCGCACAATGTGTTTATTGCTTTTGTTTTCAGAGAACAATCTCATATTTAAAATGCACCATGCTGAATTAAATCACATTGTCATTCTTGTTAAGTACAAACCATGTGACCAATGTTCATTTTATTTATATGAAGCCTACAAATTAATTCGTTAGTGGATAAACTTCCGCGAAGATTACCTGATAACTACAAAAACGAGTCTAGCGCCCTCTGTAGTTTAACAATATGTATTACTACTTACACTTTTACAATATTGATGACATTCAATATCATAATACTATTCACTTCGCCTTATAAAACGGTATACAATGTAATTCAATGGGACACTACCGTATGCGTCCATAAAATGAAATACAGGATAAAAACGTACATCATTTTTATTACAACTAATGTCAGTGGGTAATACACATGCTTTTCGTTAAATTTAATTATAAATAATAATAATAATAATAATAATAATAATAATAATAATTATAATAATAATTATAATAATTTATATTTATTCAGAAATTCAGAAAAATTACAAAATATTTACATAGGCATCAAAAAAAGTGGTGGCTTGTCAGTTTGAATACCAAACATACGAAACATACACACACAGAATACATAGTAATCAACATTTTAAGTTTTATATTTTGGATAGCCCACAATTGCCGGCACCTCCCGGAAGTGGAAATAATAATAATAATAATAATAATAATAATAATAATAATAATAATAATAATAATAATAATAATAATAATAATAATAATAATAATAATACTGTAATAATAATAATGGCGACGAATGGTTATAAGTAAACTTAGGCTGTACGTAAATCAATCTTACTAGAGGGGTTTGAATATTTATATATTTATTTACAGTGTATAATTTGTTAAATGGATAAGTTTTTTAATGATGTATCGTATTCGATGCTTTAGGTTGGTCTCACTCTTCATTTTGAAATGTCCCAAATGAGATAATTACCATTCAATTTGTACTGGTAATGATCTTGTGTTTCCTAACAGAATAAACTTCGTCTCGTGTGTTCCTCTTACTCTAATGTAGGTTAATTTCATATAGCTGTTTGGTAATATAAACTGAAATATGTGTGACATTTAGTTATTTAAACACAACATGTGATCAAATAATTTTTAATATGCTACTATTTATTTAATACAACAAATAAATTAATGGGCTTTCAAATTATTTTATCCTTTAAACTGTTCAACTCGCCCTAACGAAGTTAAATATTTTCCCACAATAATGTTTAGTGCTTTTATAAATTAAAAAAAATCATACATTTAAAATGCATTACTGTATGCTGAATTGCTGAATTTTAAAAACATAAATCATGTCACCAATATTCTCTTAAATTCTATCAGGCATACAAATGAATTCGTTAGTTGAAAAACTGCCGCAAAGATTCTCCTGATAACCCAAAAAACGAGTCTAGCGCCCGCTGTAGTTCAGCAATATGTGTTGGAACTTGCTCTTTTACAATATCGGTGGCATTCAACATTATTATACTATTTACTTCGCCTTATGAAAACCGTATACAATGTAAATTAATGAGGCACTATGCATCCATAAAATGAAATACAAGATTAAAACGTGCATAATTTATTTTTAATACGACTAATATTAATGGGTAATACACATGTTTTACGTTAAATTGTATTATAAAATAATAATGATATTAAAAATAATTGGCGATGAATGGCTATAAGTAAACTTCGGCCCTACGTAAATAAATCTTATTAGAGGAAGGGAATAATCAAATAATTATCAATATAATACTAATTTTTTAATTACACAATTCAATTAGTGGGCTTACATAAATTATTAAAAGATGGGGGTCAAAAATATAATTATTCTTGAGAAATGAAAATTATATCAATAATTAAATAATAGGCCTATGGATTTACTAATGAATTTGGATGATATATAACCAAGATAAATAAATACATAAGAAATTGCGTCCATAAAATGAAATACAGTATAAAAACGTACATAATTTTTAATACGACTAATATGGGTAATACACATGCTTTTCGTTAAACTGAGGCCCTACGTAAATAATCTTTTTAGAGAGATTTGAACTTATACTTATTCAATTTATGATCAAATAATTATTAATATAATACTATTTTTTTAATTCAACAATTAATGGGCTTACATAAATTATTCAAAAACGGCTGGTCAAAAATAAAATGATATCAATATTGTAGTAAAAGTAATAGGCCTAGGAATTTAATAATGAATTTGGATGATATATTAACCAGTATAAATAAATACATAAGAACTTCATACAATTTTAGTAAAAGTATTATAGGCATAAGAATATGGTAATATAATTATGCCTAATTTCAAAGTTCAAACTTAAAAAACATTCATGTGTTAGCTAATAAGTTTGAAAATATTATTCTGTATATTAATTACTTACATTGTATATTTTATTAGGTTAAAAGTTTGAATAAAGGCATCGGTAATTTACAGACGTACAAAATAATATTCTTTGCCTAAGCTAGTACTAAATAGGCCATGCGGCCGGGCATGCGGCATTCTGTCTAGGGACTTTCGTACTAAATGATTTATCAACTGTTCCTTCTTATATATTAACTGTTGTATTTATTTTACTCGTGCCCTTCCTTGTAGTTAAGGCCTATACATCGTTAAATTTATGTGTACCACACTTAGGAAAAAAAAAGACACCAATTCTAAAACAATTTTACACGCACCGTTGTCAAGTATTCTCATGTATTTATAAAATGTTAATACAGAGTTCACGCACGAACAATTTACAAGGCATAAGGCCTACTATACTGTACTGACAAAACATAGGC